ACCCCCCCCCCAAAATGCTTTGTGGCTCAGAGAGTTTTGTACGGGATGGAAGCTGGAATATACTTTTATTGATTCAGGCACACAGCAAGAGAGAAAATAAGGATAAGATTAGAAATTAAATCTTCAGATTATCACTTAAGCAAAGAAAAAACAGAATAGGAGTTTAATACAGGAAAGTAGTTATAATTTGCACACATGATGCATTTCAAGGGAAGCTTAATATCTTTACACCAGAAAAGAAGTCTGGTATCAGATGTGGAATAGGTGGACAGAAGTACCCATTGTAAAGCAAATCTGTTCAAAATAATAATGATAGCAACAATAATTACTGATATTAATTTAATGTAAAATTGACGTAATAAATTAAACATGTAAGGTGCTTTGAAATCACTTTTTTAAATTGAAAATGATATATTTGTATGTTTATATAGAGATATATAGATATATGAAGTAGCATTCTTATCATGCCCTGCAATACTGATTTCCAAAAGCACTTTATATTCACATTTTATCTTTGAGAGAAAGATGCAGTTCCTGAAATAAGTACAAGAGTTTTGTATTTACTCGTTTCATCACCTGTAGATTACAGGCTCAGGCCAAGCTGCAGAAGACATGTCAGGAGCTTTACAAAATAGTTTCAAAACCTAAAACACTTAAGAATAATTACCAAAAAAAAAAAATTTCAAAAGTAAGAGAATTGCTTTTCAAAGTTTGTATGAAAAATAATGGAAATATCATTTTATATGTTATATAGCAACTATAGAAATAAAAATAGAGAGCACAATGTATATCACACACTCAGGAATTACAGCACTGTTTTTCTGATTAATTACAATTAATTTCAACTTTAGACAACTTTTGAAGCCTTCTAAGCACATTAGCCAAGAAAAGATCCACAGTACACAGAGATATGTGGATCAAAGTTAACTATGATGAGCCATCTAGTTTTGGAAGGGCTTCAAGGCGTTATTCAGATAAGCCTGAAAAGTCAGTACACCTGTCTGAACCTATACCGAAGTCTTCTTTCTTCTGACTACGCTATTTGTAACATAGGCAGATTTTAATTCTCTGGACAATTCAAGAAGCTCTTCATTTCCTGTTACTACACATTTCTCATTTTGCCATACCTTCAAGGTCCTACATTTATTTTAATAAACATAAGACTATCTTTTGTCAGCTGACCAGTCTTTTCTAAAGTTGGGAAAATTCTGTAAGTTGACCCTAATGAAAGACAGTGGTTTGATCACCAATTGTGGGTAATATTTATGAATCTTCTGATAAAAATGGACAGAATATCACCCAACAGGTGATCACTGCTTCAATTTATGCTCCCTTAAAAAAATGTGGAATATTATTCCTTTTTTGCCTTTTATTTTCCTTCTCAGTATAATCCCTAAATCTCAGCTTAGTCCCCAAATAATTCTCTAAAGCGAATCCATTCTAAGTGATGATGCAACATTGTCTGCATGGGTTTTCAGATTGGACCAATAAGAGAATACATTTTCAAGGGATCCTTAACTTGGCCTCCTACAGAAATACACAATCATGACATTTCATGAGAAGTCCCAGCCTACAGTTTTGTACCAATATTATTTGCACACATAAACAACGCATGCAGAACCAGCCTCTTTAGAAACCAGGATTTCCACCTTCAAATGTGTATTTCTGTATTATGCAGCAGATTTCAGAAAAAGGAAAATTTTCACATAAAAATCATATGTTAAATCACAGCATTGTATATCCTAGATACACCTAATAATTTCAGATCTCTGTTACTTAAAGAGCATTAAATAGCACATAATTGTTTGTGTGATCACTTATACTCTTTTATAGGCAGGAAGGAAACTTAGTTATTATACTCAGATTATTAAATAAATCAGAAAGCTTAAAAAGAAGAATTTTTTACAAAAAAAGAGAGAGAAAGGCAGGGGGAAAGCACTTAACAACCTGATACTTTGGCTTTTTTCTGCTTAGAGCTGGATCCTAACAGGAAATTCAAACTTCATAAACTTTACAAACAAGGAGTCATCTCAGGGCCACAAAGATGATAAAGGGATTGGAGCACCTGACGTATGAAGAGAGGCTGAGAGAGCTTGGACTGTTCAACCTGGAAAAGGCTCAGGGCGGACCTTATCAATGTGTATGAACACCTGATGGGGGCAGGGGGAGTGAAGAAGATGGAGCCAGACTCTTCTCAGTGTTGCCCAATGGACACAAATTGAAATACAGGAAATTCCATTGAGAAGTAAGAAAAAAAATTTTTTTTGAGAGTAGTCAAACACTGGAATAGGTTGCAAAGAGATGTGGAGTCTCCATCCTTGAAGATACTCAAACCTCAACTGGACACAGCCCTGAACAACCTGCTCTCTGTCACCCTACATTGACCAGGGGAGGCTGGACTAGATGATCTCCAGCAGCGCCTGCCAACCTCAATTATTCCATGGTTCTATGAGTATACAGTGAAAATATGGAGGCAAATGTTCACAAGTGGCAAAAGTTTTCTAGTATCAACAAATGTGCACATAACAACTGCACCTACATCATCCATTGCAGTTATAGCAGTTCGTTCTTTGTAGGGCTCTTACAGTGGTTTTGGTACTTATTCACAATGTAGATGCACAAATGTTCATTGATTTGCACTCACAAGATAAGATTATAAACCTACTTTTATACTTGCCTGTCTGTAAAATGCTGGAATGACTGTCATGATGTTCCTTACCTTTGCTGAGCCATACTCCGTGGAACACTATACCTCAGAGCTTGCTGCTAACAGTGTTAGTATTTGCATTTTTTGTGCTGTTTGAGACTCAGCACCACCACAATAGGAAAAAATCATGTTCACCCTTTCTGTTGTGGTAAGCCATGTAATGTGAAACTAGTTCAAACTTAATAGCAATTTCATTTAAACCTTTCCTCTTTTGCAAGAGACTCACAAAGTATTACCATCCTAAAAGGATTTGATGAATGATAATCTTACATATGCCTATTTTCCTTAATTTTGAATTATTTTCTTCCTTTTTTTTAATCATCATTTTAAAAAGGTTTACATCTGGTTTTGTGGGCTGATATTCTAAGAAATTGGATCTGTGTTTTTAGTACCGTGTATTTTTATCATTAACTTGTTATGATCAGCTTTAAAGGACTAGAGAGGAATTGGATACTTTAGGCATGAGTTGTGGTTTTAAGCTGCTTTCTTAGAATAAAAAAATGCAATAAAAACCCCAGAAGATATTATATCAAGAGGTGATCTGCTCTTATATATTAACTGTAACACAAAACCCCAAATGATACTGTTGACAAGGGGTTTTTTCCTGTCTCCCTCTTTTCAGCTTGCTTATTTGTTTCTGACTTCTTTCATGTCATCTCCTTTCTACTTTTCACATGCATTTTTTTCTTTGATATTTTCCTGCCTTACTTCCCCCAAATAATTTCCCTTTGCTTCTGCAATTTTTGATCTCTCCCTCATAAACATGAATGCTTCTGCCCTATAAGAACTTTTGTTCTTTCCCCACATAGACCCTTTCTATTATTCTCACATTGCATTCACTCTGCAGCAACTCTATTTCCTTTACTAGATTTTATCCTGTAATTCTTACCATATAAAATATTTTAATCCCGATTCATTTTTTTTGCTGGTCACACCTGCCCAGACTACCACTGTAAGTCCTACTTGCCTGACACCCTCCCATGCTTGCCTGCACTCTTAGTCTCATCCCTCTTATTCCCTCTGCTTACTTCATAACTCTCTCTTACCAACTTCAGCTGACTGACTTCTCTTCATTTTGTCACTCCTCTTGATCTTTTGAAAAAAAGCTGTAAAATCCTAAACAAAACATTTCTGGCTATGTGTCTATCTCACTATGTAAAGCAGCTCTCGAGTCCTAAGGCCAAGAGACGTGTCTCCACTTTTGTCCACAGAGCTAAACTCTCTTCATTTTCCTCCCTCCTCCAGATAAGACACTTGCATCCAAACTGCCAACAGTTTCTGGCATGTGGTATTTCCTGAACTGTGCTTTTTTTTTGGAGAATGTTAGTCAGCTATGGCCAAAACCATGCCAAGGATCATGCTCATACTTAAACAGACATGTGATCATGGGCACATACTCAAACATCTACCCATCTATCCAGTCTCCAAGACCCATCAAACTTCCTCTCTATTTGGATCTGTCTAGTTTATTCTCTCTCCTTTGCCTTAGAGAAAATCAGTGCTAGAGACTGAGCTGTGTGAACAAGTCGGGTACAACTGGGGAAGATGTGGAAGCTCAGGTGAGCTTTGCTGAAGCAAGTGGGAGAATTTAACTCATCTGTAACATGATGAGAGAGAATGTGGCACCACCATCAACGGCTTGCACTGTTGGGTGCCTCCATATTCAGGTGGCTCTGTTCATCTCCTTCCTGCAACACAGCCTTTCTTAATTTAACTATGTCTAAGAGCAAGTCACTGCTAGGAGATGTTATAGTAACTTTCAAAAGAAAATAGTAGTTTGAGAAACAGATTGTTACAGGACTTTACATTAGTATAAGGCCTCAGGAGACGTATCAAAAATAGAATTTCAGGATGAAAAATTAAGAAAGACGTGTGTGCAGCATGGAGTTATTTTAACTCACTCAGTTTCTTCAGGCAACTATATTCATGATATTATCTAATCAAGCAAAGCAGCAAAAAATCAGAAGATATCTGATCTATTAAAAATGAATAGGGAGATTATTGTCTCATGATAGGTAATTCATGCTTGGAAAGGTTTTTTTGTTTATAAAGAAAAAGAACAGGGGAAAAAATTATAAAGGATTATTGTTTGTTCAGTTATTTGTATTTTAAAGTACTGAGCTGCCACAATTTCCATTACATACAATACATTTATGTAGCAATAATGTTACATTATGGAAACTCCTTTGTGATATTTGGACGCTGGTTTCCTAGACTGTTAGTTTATTAACAAGTGGATATAAGACATGAATTCAAACGATTGCCCATGTGAAGGTGTCTCTAGCAATCCTACCTGTTGGCGGGATGATTCCAGGAGACATTAGGCCTGGGACAGAATGTGGCATGATATGAGAATTCTCTGGGGAGGTGACACTTTGAGTCCTCTTAGGAGGCCTTCCAGGTCTAGAACTGAAACAAACAAACAAAAAAATTTTTACAATTAAGCTGTTGTCTTACACATCATTTCAAAGTTGTTTCAAGTGGTAACATGGACTGTAAATAAATTTGTTTCAAGGACGGTTGCTTTTGCAGTTAGATGTAATAGACTTCCATCACTAATTAGATTACATGCTGAATTCATTTTCCTCATTGAAGATCAGCCACTCTTGATGCATAATTCATAGCCTGCACCTCGTTACCTGCTTCTTCATATTAATATCTATACACAGTTTGAATTGCCTCGTTTGCATATGCTAAAGTTCTGCATGCAGCCTTCAGCACGAAAATTATGCACTAACTTGTAATAATTATTACAGTCAGCCTGCTATTGATTTATGAGACTTTTAAAAACCAAATATGTGTAGTACTTGTAATGAATGATATTTTAAGGTTCTTCAGGAAATTAAAAGGCAATGGCTGCCTAAGGAAATGTTCTGCTTGTTTGATTTAATACTACAGTTAGCTGGGAGGTGGAATGAAAGAGTGATTCAGACCTATAGCACATTTTTCGATGATATGTTTTATTACTTTGCACTGCTAGCCTGATATCTAGATGATAAATGACAATACATATCTAATGTGTGAAAAGGTCTTGCAATTTCTTTATTTTTTGTCATTTAAAAGATAAGTCAAGTTATCATTTAACCCTTATTCTATTTAAAGTGAAAATCTCACTAAGACACCTTACTTTAAATATACTAGTTTATGTCAGAAAGGACTCAGAATTATTTGTAAGATATTGTTTAGCAACTGCCATCATAGCAGCTTACCTCTGTCCACTATGGAAAAATAAAGGGCTTCAGGTTTAAGCACTCCTTGTCTGTTAAATGCTCACATACACAACTTTCCATCTCCTGGACTGTGTAAGTAGCATACAAATTAGATACGGATTACAATGAAAATACTTATTACCCACTTACATGCAAATATGTACCTGCTACACACAATGCATATCCAAAGGCTTGTATTCTTATGTACAGATCATAGCATAGTACTATTGCAATATCCTATAACGGCTTATTTAGAGGACATTGTGGAATAACTTCACAGAAGAAGGTGATGTGCAGTTCTAACACTGCAGTGTTAACCTATGCATTGCCAAACATTTGAGGTTCTTCATTTGTTTCAAAACAAGAAAGAAAAGAAAGGTGGCTATGAAAGGTTTTGCTCCTTAGGTCCTCACACTAACAAAACTCTCATCAAGGATAATGGCATTTTTAGCTATGCTGGGACTGCAGGAGGCAGATAAAATACCTCTGTTTTCTGTTCGTATTCATTCCCCTTGTGTTTGGAAATTCCCTTTTTTTTTTGCAACTTCTACAACCTACCTTTAATAAACCAAAAACAATCAAAGTACAGGGCATTTTCTTGGAGCTTAATGACTCAAGGCATTGAGTCATTAACCTTAACTGATCATTAATTCCCAACTTAATGTCCTGAGCTGAGGTCATTATTAAAATTATAAGCTTGATAATTTCTTTGATTGGTTTGGGATTTTTGATTTTCTTTAATACAAACAAAATCATCATATGTTCACAACTACAAGAAAAACAGTTGTAGAAAAAGAATATTGTCTTATTCCAGCTCACAGAACCAAATTAAGTGTCTTCTGTCTTTCTTTGAAATTTCCTTTGTGATTTACAATAAAAATAAACATACCATGAATACACATAAAAGTGATAAAAACACAATAGACAAAAATGATCTGATTTAAATGGAGTGTTTCTAATATATTCACCCACCAAAAAAATGCCACTATGTAAGAAAACTTTAACGGCTTAATTTAAATACCTATGATGATGCACTGTTCTCAAATCACCGCTGTGATATGAGTATGGAAGGGTCTGACAACAGCATAAAAAATGCAAGCAGGGTGCCATGGCATAATGCACAACCTACCAATGACTTCCAAGTCTTTAAAAAACAAGTTCGCTCCTGCAAAGATTCTCTTTGATGAATTGATGCTTACTACCAAATACAGCCATGGTGAAGTCTGAATGCTTCTGTCTTTGATTTTGAGGAATAAAACCACCCCTCTTCAAAGCCTAAGAGAAGACACCCATGGACCAAATCTGTAAATGAGGGTCAGCAGCAAATTATAGATGAGTGACATTGAAATATCCAAGGCAAAACTCTTCCTTTGGTCACCTTCTACAATCAAGTCAATTGTGCTACTCTATACCAAAGGGCTGTCACACTCAAAGCCGTAAATGAGCCCAGTAATTCAACTCTACCACATGATTTATCCCAAACTTTACCAAATAAGTGTTCTCATGAACTCCTAAACTCCCAATTCCAATCCAACTAACAACACCTAAACGAAATTTCTGAGAAATAAGCCTCTTTTATCCCGATACAATTTTTAAGTGACAAAGCGCTAACTCCAGTTTACTATAAAAAGGCATTTATCGATTTAAGAAATGTTTGTTCCTTATGACAAGGCAGAAAAACAAATATAAGAATTATTTCTTAAGGTCTGGAAGATCTAATTTAGAGTCACAGCAGACTATACAATACACAATTAAAATGAGTAAATCTCTGATTGGTTAAAATATGCACACACTGATTGTCCCCAATAACTGATTAAGTAACAATAATTGTCTTAATTTGTTATTTATATTATGTACTTATTTCATTAACCAAATTTCTAACTTGAAATACTACCGTTTTATAAGATCTGTTTTCAAACTATAACAATTGCACAAATTTTGTATGAATCATTACCAAAGTTGTGGAAAAAATGCTATGCAAAAATTACTTTAAAAAATAACTTTGATTCTATTTGAAAATTTGCATGTTGTTTTGTAGTTCATTACCATTTTTATAGCTATATGATAAACTCTTTAAAAAAAACATTAAAAGTAAAGCAAATGAGTTTAACTATCATAAACAGAATGATAAAAATAGCTTAATGAATCATTTTGTTGTTTTTTTCCTAAACTTCTGTATAGTAAAGACCTACTTATTTTTACATTAGGACAAGTTCACTTTCATTCAAGATAAGAAGCCTGCTTCAAAGTACTCACATTCATATTTTGTATCAAAATCAGTAGATTTGTCTTCAGTATGATTTGTTACGCAAAAGATATATTTAAACACCAGAGCAATGTAAGTTATTCTTCTAGCTGATGTCACTGAGATACAGAAATCATCATTTAGAAACTGTTGATAATACTCTTTTTACTCAAATTTAGATTTTATATATAAGCTTTTACAGAGATATAAAAGATATTGTAAGATTTTTGTCTTTTATCTGAATAAAATCATTGGAAGAACAACACTGGTTCTTCTGAAGACACACTTGACTTCTTAAGGTAATGCTAATTATTTCAATGGGTAAACTACTCAAAGCTGACCCATTTTGATTTTGAAGATGACTACAGTTTGGATTTTTTAGAGCTAAAATAAACAGGCCAAAGTGCCGAAACCCAAAAAGAGCCAACATAAGTCTTGTGAATACCTAAGGTCATAGTACAGAGACATCAAGGAGTCTTTTGGGACTCCACAAGAAGATGCTAGAAGAAACAGACCTACATCTGGAAGTCATAGCTGGTCTTCCTCTCTACTGTTTTATTCTTTGAAGATTAAATTAGAGAGCAGAAATTAGACAATTTCAACAAAGACTCAAGGAAGCCGCAATGATTAACTGTTTTAAAGAGCTGAGAAGTCAAAGGGAAGTTACCAGTTCCTTGTTTACCCATTAAAAAGGAGATGTAATAGAAACACTTTCCAGAACCACTGAAAATAAATCCATCATTTTTGGTCAGATTTGTATTTCACCCCTTCAACTTTCACAAATACATCAATGAATACTATGGCTTAAGCATTTGCATCTTTGAAGGAAAGGGTATATATGTCTTCTGCACTGTGACTGGCATGAAAGGTACAAAACATGAGAAGCAATAGAGAGTATATTGTCCTAAAATACAGCAAGTTCTCTGAAGTAGTTCTTTTTTGGTCTTTTGACCAACATATATTAGTCTTACATCCTTCCTCTGTTACCAAAACTAGACAACAACAGATGGCTAAATTAAAGAATAAAAAATGGAAGAATCAGTGGTTATTATCAGCTAAAATGTTGTGCTTTGATTATACTTTTCAAGTTTTATACACTTCCGATTGTATTATCAAAGTATGAGCTTGCTCCTAGAAATCACTTTGATATAGTGCAAAACAATTAAAAGCAGACATAATCAGCAGAAGATCTGGTTCTGCACAATCACGTAGAAAGAGGTGAAGGGAGAATAGGTACAGGTTTATCTGCAGGCTTTAAAAGTAAGCAGACTTTTCATTCAGCTCTTTTCACTCTTTGCCAGAAGACAGCCATGGCTTTAAAATTTAAGGGTCTCATCCTTGAAAGCCTTAGACACGTAGACCTCACACTGATTTCTGTTAGAGAACAGAGCACCAAAGAAGATATTGGTTCCAAAACAGCTGAAACTCTTCATGAGTAGTATATACCTCTCAGAGTACGTTGCTAGTATTTTATAGATGACTGATTACACGATAAAACATATACTATAAAACGAAAAGGGTGTGCAACGCAGCTGAGAGAATGCTGTGATTTATCCTTCTGATGTCCTGACTTTGAGGAGTAATTGTGCAAAATTAACTCTAGACAAACGAAGTTTCACTCTTTAAAATTATTTTTATTCAATACGTGAAGTATCCCGAAGGAAAACAGCAACTCTGACCAGCTGTAAGAAGGCAAACTGCCTTTCTAGCCAAAACTAATTATTTTCAGGGCCGGTTTTCTACATTTACAGTTTTATTTTTAACCTTGTCTGTGAGCAAGTTTAGTGCACAGAAATACTGTCCTCATTTGAAACTGAGCAAACATGATGCCGTGAAGCTGCCATTGGCCAGGCAGTTTTATAATCAGTAATACTGGAGGGTAGCAGGGAGAGTTACACTCCGGAGGTGGTAGCCAGCAAATCTGTAACAAGCATTTGGTGTATTTATTTAATGTA